GGGGGCCTGCCGTTGTGTGACGGGGGCTGGAAGCTCTAGGCCCCCGGCTGCGTTGCTCTCCGCACAGGCCCGGCAGTCTGGCGTTGGCCGTGCGAGTGGGCTGTGGGTGGGGTTCTCTCCACAGCTGTGCCGTGCGGGGCTGCCCCGGGAGACGTTGGTCCTGGTCTCTGTGCCCCGGGAGCGCTCACGGCCTGTTGCTTTCTCTCCAGGCCATAGCCCATTACGAGCAAGCAGCTGATTACTACAAAGGGGAAGAGTCCAACAGGTAAGCATCGCTGCTTTCCTGCCTCCGCAGCCAGGCGCTCTGCGGGCGAGTGCCGGCCAGGCCAGCAGGGTCATTGGGAACTGGGTCCCCGTCCTGGCTTTCCCCGTGCTCCGCGTCCGCCTCCGGAGGGTGAGGAGGAGCCCCGTTGGCGCCGGTGGCTCCCCCTGCTCCCTTGCCTTCTCCGTGCAGTGCAGGGTCTAGGCTGTGGTGGTATCGCTCCGAAGGGTCCGTGTGGAGCCCGCTCGTGTCCCCCGCTATTGATGGGCGTAGTGATCCCGGGCAAACCCATGTGCCTCTGGGCCCAGGGGCAGCTCACAGAACACACTGCGAGGCTGCCTGGCCCTGTGGGGGAAGCCCCTTCCACCCGGTGTGCATTGGAGCAGGAGGGGGCGCGCCCAAGGCGGGGATCCTGGGCGCTCTTGCTGCCGGGGACCAGAAAACCACATGGCAGCTGGGGGGGGCTGGGTATATCTGAGGGAGCCCGAAGCAGGGGAGAGCGCGCTTCACGCCCCCCTGAGGGGCCAGCCGGGAGAGCAGCTTCAGTGGGCGCCAGCAGCCTGCTCCTTGGCACCTGTTTCTTTGCAGCTCTGCCAACAAGTGTCTGCTGAAAGTGGCCACGTACGCCGCCCAGCTGGAGCAGTACCAGAAAGCCATCGAGATCTATGAGCAGGTGGGGGCTCTGTCTCAGCTGTCGTCCTCCCACAGATGCCTCCTTTCCCCGGGGAGAGCCAAGGGCAGCCTGGCCTGTGGGGCCCAGCTCGCTTTGAGGCGCTTTCAGCGGGGCTGTGTAGATGCCTCCCTCGGTTAGGGGAGGGATGGCCCATCGGAAGCTCCTGGCAGTGGCCGTGGCTGGGCTGTGGGTGGGCCAGCTGCTCCTGTCCTACTGTGGAGGAGGAGGATCCAGAGGGGGTGCCCCGCTCCATGCCCCGGACGGGCGCTCACCTCTTGGTTCTTCGCTGCCTTCCAGGTGGGCACCAGTGCGATGGACAGCCCCCTGCTGAAGTACAGCGCCAAGGAGTATTTCTTCAAGGCGGCCCTCTGCCACTTCTGCATCGACATGCTCAACGCCAAGGTGGGTCCGGTGCTCCGGGGCAGGGCCTGGAAACACCCCTCGCAAGCCCCTCCAGCGAGGGCAGCCCACGGGCCTGCAGAGCAGCCTGGCCGAGGACGCTGTGACCTGTAACCCTGGCAGCGCCTGGGCGCCCCGGGCCGAACCCGGTAGAAACACCCAGCAAAGGCCCTGTCCCAGGGAGCCTCCCGTCTAGGCTGCTCCTGTTGGGACTCACTCCTCTGTCTTTCCAGCTGGCCATGCAGAAATATGAAGAGATGTTCCCAGCCTTCTCCGACTCCAGGGAGTGCAAACTGGTGAAAGTGAGTGACGCTGGCATTCTACCCTGCTCTGCCTGGCGCTCGGACCCTGCTGCGCCTGCCCCCGACCCCTCGGGGCAGGAGAGGGGCCAGTGGGAGAAATGGCTGGGGGGGGAGGTTTCAGAGCCAGCGCACTGCGAATCCAGAAATATGAAGAGATGTTCCCAGCCTTCTCCGACTCCAGGGAGTGCAAACTGGTGAAAGTGAGTGACGCTGGCATTCTACCCTGCTCTGCCTGGCGCTCGGACCCTGCTGCGCCTGCCCCCGACCCCTCGGGGCAGGAGAGGGGCCAGTGGGAGAAATGGCTGGGGGGGGAGGTTTCAGAGCCAGCGCACTGCGAATCCCCAGAGACGTGACTCCACCGCTGCGTTGAAAGGCCAGGGCCAGCGTTGGGGGTGGGCCAGCAGGGACCCCCTGCCTCAGAGTTGCTCAGACTTCGGCCTGGTGCAGCAGGGCCCTGGGCGTGGGGCCCCAATGAGTCTAATGCCAGCCCTGCTTGGCTGGCCCCTGGTGGGCACTTGCAGACCAGCTCTTCCCTGGGCCCAGTCGTCCTGAATCCCCAGCTCTTCCGTACCAGACTCCCCTCCTCCCGTAGCAGCATGAGGAGCCACCGGCCCCGTCTGGCTCTGGAGAACCCATCCCCCGAGCACCGAGCTGGCGTGCAGGAAGCCTCTTGTGCTGCAGTGTTGCTAAGCAGCAAGGTGGGAGGGTGCTGGTGCACTTGGACGAGTGGTCCGTCACCGGGGGAGCGCGGGGGGCTGGGTGCTCCCCAACAGGGACTCGTGCAGAGAGGGTGCTGGACTGCAGTGACCCGCCAGGGCGGCTCCGCCCCTCCTGCGACTTGTGCGTTAAATCTGTTGCCTCCAGTAGCGCCAGATCCAGCCCTGAGGCACAGGCCGCTGGTTGGCTGGGGCTGCCCGCCAGCCCGGCGAGTTTCGCCTTTCTTAAAACACCGCGCTAGCGGCAGGGTCTCTGCTTGCTCCTGTGATCTGGGTTTGGCACCGAAGGGGCAGCAGGACTCTGGGAGACCCTGCCATGTATGGAAACGAGCCTTGTTCCTCTCTTCCCCTCTCAGAAGCTGCTGGAAGCTCACGAGGAACAGAACATCGACAACTACACCGACTCGGTGAGCGCAGCTGGGCGAACGTGGGTGTGAAACGTGAAGGGTCAGGGTGCCCCGGAGATGCCCCACTGTGTCCGGCAGATTCTGCCTGACTTCCCTGGGGTGTTACTGCCCCTGACTTCCTTGTCTAGATGTCTGTGTCTGCGCAGGCTGCAGCTCCTGTTGGCTTCCTTGGGGACCGGGGGAGCTTGGCCCTTCTGCAGATCCGTGCACAGCAGGCTGCATGCGGCTGTGTGTTAAATTGACAAAACGCCAGTTAGGTTAAAAACATGGAGCCTAGACACGTGCCTAGAGCTCCGTGACGCTACAGACCCAGGTGCGGGGGCGGAGACGCTGGCTTTCACCAGCCATGCACTGGGTGGCTTTCGCCGTGAGGGGACTGAATCCCAAAATGCGATGACCTGCTGCATGGGGCCTGGCCAGCCGCGGAGCACAGCCGTGTGGCGTGTCGCTTATGCCAGTCGCGCTCTCTCCCACCGTGCAGGTAAAGGAGTACGACTCCATCTCACGGCTGGACCAGTGGCTCACCACCATGCTGCTCCGGATCAAGAAAACCATCCAGGGCGAAGAGGAGGATCTGCGTTAAACCCCACCCCTCCTTCCCAGTCACTGTTGACTTTCCTCCGCAGCATCTGCACGGATCTCTTTGGGGATGGGAGGGGGTGGGCCTGCAGGAGAAGGGTTCTGACTCAGTGATGTATTACCCCGTATCTCATAACCCTTTTGCCTCACAACCCAAAGGGGCCTGTGAACCTAACCACCTGACGCAGCTGCTCTAGCGCCCTGAGCTGTTTCCCCTGGGCCAAACACATCACTTTCTGCTCTGCAGAGGTGCCCGGCCTGGCAGCAGACTCCTCCCAGATGTGATCCTCCAACACCCTAACCCGCTGCCCGGGTTCCCTCTGCCGATAGTCAGTCGTACAGATGACTGACTATCTTAAACTGGCTTTAGCCTTGACTCCCTTCTTGCTGCTTCCAGAAAACAGCACAAAATTGGTTTTTCTCACTTCCTGCGGTTTAGAACAGGCCCCTCTGTGCTCCCCCAGCACTGATTTCAGACTCACTACCAGGCGTGGGAACAGGAGTGCCCCCTCCCCAGCCTGCAAGCGTACCCTTGTAGGCGCTCCACTGTCAGAGCTCTGAGTACTTCGCTCAAGCCGAGAGCCTGGCTTCAGGCTGGGAAGTGACACGTAGTGGCTTCCTCTCCTAGCCACCCGAGAGCTGGGATGTGAGGGAAGCACAAACTGGAGTTCCCCAGCTCCTGCTTATTTCAGTCAAGGGCTGTGCCTAGCATCTTGCCTGCAGATACTTCCCCAGGCATCCTCTCGCTCCCCAAGGCTCCTTGAGTCACTTCACTGTCTGTTCTCTCCTTCCCCCTTCTCACTGTCAGTCACACCTGCTGACATGAGAAATACACCTCTTTTCTTTCCCGACTGGGTGGCTGTAGTGCCGCTCTACCGGGGAGGGGGGGCAAGCGCTGCATCCTTCACGTGGGGCCCCAAGAGGGGAGAACTGGACTGGCTGGTCGTTCCCATGCTGCGTGGGTAGCCAAATAGTTCTGTGCTTCTGGTACGTTAATAACCTTAGCAAACCCTTCCTTGGTGACTCTAATTTAATCTCTTCCCAGCCAAGGCAGCAGGCCCCCTGCTGTGGGGGGCATGGCACCTGGTTGGAAGGGAACCGAACTCCCATTCAGTATTGTGTGCATACAGTACTTGTGGCCATAAAGGTTTTTATTTCTGGACCATTCTCTTGATTTTGAAACCTAGTCTGAGGGGCAAGGCAGTTCCAGGTTTACCATGTAGTAATCTCCACTTCTGTATTGTTTGTTGGAAGAAACAGGAAGTCTTGCTGCATGTTTTAATGTCATCAGAAAGCGACTCTTGCTGAGTGTAGTGACCAATTGCACAAGAAAAATAAAACTTTGCATGAGCAAAAGCAGATTTTCATAACTCTGCAGCTAAAGTCACAATGCTTCCCTGTGGCCTGGCATGCTGGAGCAGTGCCTCTTGCTGCCACTGAATTCTCCCGTTCCCGTGCAGTCCCTTTACAGCAGGAGCCTGTTCTGAGCACTGGCTGCAGAGCAAACAAAACAAAATCACTTTCTAAATCTGCTCTGGTTATTGAGGCATTGGTTAGATCCAGTCCTGTCAGCACCAGAGAGCCCAAGCTGAGCTGGCAATGTGTCAGCTGAGTTCAGTAAATTCAAGCACAAATATTTTGTCTTGGCATTGGAACAAAGAAGACAGGCTCGGGGGTAAGGCTGGAAATTAGCAGTACCGCTTCGTTCCCTGTCAAAGCTTGATTCATCACTTGAGATAAAGATAAAAATTGTGGCTGCCTCCACAGATGGTCACTACTTAGAATAAAATTAGCATCTTTCACAGTTACAAATAGTGACTCTCTGTAGAATTGTTTAAGAGGATAATATTTTTCACCTTGGGTGCAGAATCATCGCCGAATCACCCCTTTAGCAGTCCAGCTGCCTGTCCAGTCATCCATGGGCACATCTGCTCGATGGGAATTAACAGCTCTGAGCTTTTACCTTTTTTCTAATCTGGTGTTTTTGTTGGTCTGATGCCCACCTTGTGTGTGTATTTCCTGTCCTTGGATCACATTCTGCCTTAAAGCGTTCCAACTGTTCATTAACAGGCCTAGCTCTTTGGACTCTAGAGGCAGGGTTGCTCGAGCTGGGTTGGTTCAGGAATACGCTGAAGCAGCTGTGGAGACTGGTTGGCATGACATAAACAAGCACAGGCTGATTGTTAGGTAGAGTAAGCTGGCCCAGGACCAGGGTGCCTGGCTGAGAACGGCCCCTCCTGCAGCCATGTTTTTAAAGGTCCAAGGAGCCTTCTGTGTTGCAGGGGGCTTTTCCTCCTCCTCCTGCAGTTGTTCCAGTGATGAGACAGCAGCTGTTTCTGTTCTGTGACCCCCTCTTCAAACAGGCGTAGCAGCGACAAACCCAGCTCTGCTCTAAAGTGTAAAGGCCTGGAAAAAGCTGCTGCTAATTCTTACAACGTTTTCCCTGGCAGCCGGGGGGGGCTGGGGTACAGCAGTCAGAGGTCATGGGGAGGGGCCAGGGAGCTGTAGTTCTCTGCAACCTGGGTGAAGGGTCACTCTGGGGTCAGAGGTCATGGGGAGGGGCCAGGGAGCTGTAGTTCTCTGCAACCTGGGTGAAGGGTCACTCTGGGGTCAGAGGTCATGGGGAGGGGCCAGGGAGCTGTAGTTCTCTGCAACCTGGGTGAAGGGTCACTCTGGGGTCAGAGGTCATGGGGAGGGGCCAGGGAGCTGTAGTTCTCTGCAACCTGGGTGAAGGGTCACTCTGGGGTCAGAGGTCATGGGGAGGGGCCAGGGAGCTGTAGTTCTCTGCAACCTGGGTGAAGGGTCACTCTGGGGTCAGAGGTCATGGGGAGGGGCCAGGGAGCTGTAGTTCTCTGCAACCTGGGTGAAGGGTCACTCTGGGGTCAGAGGTCATGGGGAGGGGCCAGGGAGCTGTAGTTCTCTGCAACCTGGGTGAAGGGTCACTCTGGGGTCAGAGGTCATGGGGAGGGGCCAGGGAGCTGTAGTTCTCTGCAACCTGGGTGAAGGGTCACTCTGGGGTCAGAGGTCATGGGGAGGGGCCAGGGAGCTGTAGTTCTCTGCAACCTGGGTGAAGGGTCACTCTGGGGTCAGAGGTCATGGGGAGGGGCCAGGGAGCTGTAGTTCTCTGCAACCTGGGTGAAGGGTCACTCTGGGGTCAGAGGTCATGGGGAGGGGCCAGGGAGCTGTAGTTCTCTGCAACCTGGGTGAAGGGTCACTCTGGGGTCAGAGGTCATGGGGAGGGGCCAGGGAGCTGTAGTTCTCTGCAACCTGGGTGAAGGGTCACTCTGGGGTCAGAGGTCATGGGGAGGGGCCAGGGAGCTGTAGTTCTCTGCAACCTGGGTGAAGGGTCACTCTGGGGTCAGAGGTCATGGGGAGGGGCCAGGGAGCTGTAGTTCTCTGCAACCTGGGTGAAGGGTCACTCTGGGGTCAGAGGTCATGGGGAGGGGCCAGGGAGCTGTAGTTCTCTGCAACCTGGGTGAAGGGTCACTCTGGGGTCAGAGGTCATGGGGAGGGGCCAGGGAGCTGTAGTTCTCTGCAACCTGGGTGAAGGGTCACTCTGGGGTCAGAGGTCATGGGGAGGGGCCAGGGAGCTGTAGTTCTCTGCAACCTGGGTGAAGGGTCACTCTGGGGTCAGAGGTCATGGGGAGGGGCCAGGGAGCTGTAGTTCTCTGCAACCTGGGTGAAGGGTCACTCTGGGGTCAGAGGTCATGGGGAGGGGCCAGGGAGCTGTAGTTCTCTGCAACCTGGGTGAAGGGTCACTCTGGGGTCAGAGGTCATGGGGAGGGGCCAGGGAGCTGTAGTCCGTGTGCTCAGCTCCTTTCCCCCCACAGGACGGGCCTGGAGCTTGACGGGCTGCGGCCCCTACGGCCCTTCTTACCCTGGCCCTGCTGCTGAAGGAACCGGTCTCAGCAGCTCCTCCTGGCGTGCGCCTCTTCTGCAGCCCTGCAGGGGGCCACCACAGCTGGGATAGAAGCAGGGGGCTGGGAATAAGGAGCCCTGGGTTTGGGAATGGGGAGGGGCCTAGAGGTTAGAACGGGGACTCCTGGATTCTCCTCCCAGCCGTCCTGCTGATTCTTTGTCTGGCCTGCTGCCTGTGGCTCAGGGAGGATAACGGGACTGCGTTTGTAAAGTGGTTTGAGACCCTCTGATGCACTGTAGCCATTGTTTTTAAAGGCACGTGAGAGGTTATGGGAAAATACCCTGTGTTTGTATAAGGCCTGCAAACAGGAGTCCAGTATTGTGTAAAGTTTATTACTATTACATTCAACTTTGTGATCTTTGGCAAAAATCTAAACTGTTAATCTAAAATTGTAAACTCTGCAAGGCTGTTCTGTTAATCTGTGCGTGTGCAACGCTAGCACCGTGAGACCTGATCTCCAGTGTGAATAATAATAACCAGTTCTTACATGATTTATTTTTTTCTTGGCAGTTGATGCTGAAATTGTCTCGATTGATACTTTCAGCAAGTCGCCCCCAAAAAGGGGTCTTGTGGTGGGAATAACTTTCATTAAGGTATGTGCTTTTGCTTTCCTGCCTCCACTTCCTTCAGCAGATGGCGTTTGTTGTCATTTAAAAAACGCATGTAGCTCTGTGGAAGGGGCTGTAGTAACATCTGAGAGGGAGTAACTAGCAGTGACCCAGTCAGCTGCAGGGCAGATTCTGCTCTGTGTGTCCAGTTCTGCCATGTGTCCTGAGTGAAGATCTAATCTGTTGAACTTGGAGCCCAGTTGTTTGATCTAGTTACCATATGTGACCCCAGTTACTGTCATGTCTGAATACCTCACAGTTCTATCCACCATTTGATTAGTCAGTTAGTTGATATTTAACATCCTTAGTCCATGCTGTTGTCCTTATACAGGTCGGCAGTGGAGACCCAAAGAGGTTTAATGACTTAGATGCCCAATTGCCACTAAGTTTCAATAGAATTTGGGTGCCTAAGTCCCTTAGGCTCCTATGAAGAAACTCAGCTCAAGTTCTTAGGCTTCTTCGCTGAGACAGTCGGCGTGCCAATGGCTGAGACCTGCTCTGTGCCACTGGTACAAGGAAGTAATGATTCCGACGTTGTCATGCGCAGCCAGTGGAAAGGGCTGAATGTTCCACAGGCCATGGAACCGTTCCCAGGGCAGTGGTGACTTTGAGGCCCTGATTAGCTGCCTGTGGTCCTGTCCAGCATCGTTCCCTTGGGCCCCTCTGTCTCTCCGTCCAGCTCTTGTCTGATAATTCCACCGTCGGCTCCAAGGGACGGGGACTGTTTCTGCCTCGCCCCGTGCGGGGCTGGTCCATGACTCAGGCTCCTAGACAATAAATAATAGTCCAGGTGCAGGATTGAATCTCCATTGCTGCTCCCCGGAACCGAGCGTCCCTTTACAAAAATAGGATGATAACTTTTCCTGTCTAAAGTGCTGTGCTTTGAACTGAACCCCGGAGATTCTGGTGGAGTCCTCTTCTCCTCTGTCTCTCTGTAGGACTCTGGAGACAAAGCTAGCCCATTTCTGAACATTTATTGTGACTATGAGCCTGGATCGGAGTATAACCTGGACTCCATCGCACGTAAGGAAGCGAGCTAACCTCTGACCTCCGGCCCTGGCGCTGTTGTCAATGGCAGCAGAGAGCAATAGAATTGGCCTCCTGCAGCCGTCCCAAAGCCTGCGGTTTTGTCACATCTCACAAGCTAAGCCGTTTCAGCCTGGCTCTTTACTTAGCCGGGGGACCTCTAGAGAAAGCTGGGTGCTGTGGAGAGAGGTTCCGGTGTGACTCAGCTGCTTGTGCCCTGACGAGTGGGTGCTCTCCCCTGCCATGGTCCCTCTTTCAGAGAATGGCCCATTACGGGTTGCAGAAGCACCCCTGGCACTTTCCCTAGAGCTCGGGCTGTGATCCCTGGAGTCCTGGCTAATGACATTGTTGTCACAAAGTTCCGGAGAGCGGCAGCTGCTGGCCGAGGGCCCAGCTCCACAGACAGCTGCATGGATTAAAGGGGACATGGGGTGATATTGTCACTCTTACTTCTGCACTGCTGCTGGCTTCTGCAGGAGCACAGCAGTAAGGATAGCAGCGCCGCAACCCCCCTACAGTAACCCCTGTGTCCTCCCCTCCCCAAATCCTCTTTGGATAGGATCCCTGCAATGGCAGGGCTGTGAAATTTCAGATTTAAATAGCTGAAATCATGACATACACAATTTTTTAAATCCTGTGACCATGAAGTTGACCAAAATAGACTGAACTTCGTAGGGCCCTTCCTGCCACTGTGTGAAAATCCTGGTAAATCTGTGCCCTTCAGAAAAGCAGTTTTGGGGGTGGGGAGAGAGGGTGTCTATCTTAGGAACCCCTTTGTCTCATGATCCCCAGTATGGTCACTAGACCCTACCCTGCGCCCCCATGAGGTGCACCCCATTCGGAGGCAATCTGAGTTTGCCCGGCTGCTTTCAGAGGCCCTTTGAAACAGAAAACTGGCTGTTGCCTTCACTGGCGACCTGGCGCTCCTGGCTTGGAGACTGACTTGTGCCATGCCAGGCTCACAAAGCGAGCCGGTGCCAGTGGTGGGACGCAAGTGCCGCTCTCCTGGATCCCGACCGCCTCCCTTGGAGGTGGGGTCAAAGCCTCAGTTAGAGACGCCAAGCTACAGAGCGGACCCCTAACTCGCTGAGAGCCAGCGGTGCGATTTGTGGGCTCGTGGTGTTCGAATTCCCCACCGACTGTGGGTGCAAATTACCTGCTCACCCGTCTCTGCTCTTCCCCTCCAGAAAGCTGCCTGAACCTGGAGCTGCAGTTTACCCCATTCCAGCTCTACCATGCCGAGTACGTACACTGCTCGC